TTGTTAAACTTAGATAAATTTTATTTCACATGTTGGTAGGTGGTTTTTAGCATCCGGCTATCGCTGAAAGGAAGAAGGTCATCGCTGTGGAGTTACAGACTGGTGGACAGGGAAGCAAAACTCTCATATGCATCTTGTTTACAAAAACTGAATATTCATCTTCTCCTTGAGCGCATCTTCCTGAACTTTCCTAAATATTCATTGACTGTTTCTCAAGTCCAAGCAAATGCTAAACAGCGACCCCACAAACTCCGTGAAAGATCCCACTTTTCGAGAGACGCAATGCGGATTTATGAGGAAACATGCTATTCCCGTCCCACTCCCATCAGTAGTACCAGCGTTACACCGCATGTAAGGTCTACAGGTAGACCTGGTGCAGGTGGTTGGTCAGTTTTGTGTCACTGATTACTGGCTACAAATAGTTGCACCTGGGCACCCTGACTCAATTCAAGAGTCAGCCGTATTAGTTTCATCAAAAGACTGAAACAGTGGAGCTATGTGAAAGAATTTTTCGGCCGGTAGCATCTGCGCAGTAATACTGCGGCTACTAAATTGCTGACTGTTGCCAACCGTGTTATTGTGTGCACTAGATGCTGACTTATTAGGTAACAAATGAGAACAATGATTGCAGAAATTGGTGTATATTTGTTCTGAACTGCGTCGAGCTAGATTTTTTGTAATCACACAACCTAACTGTAACCAGTGATCAAATCGTTATTCTAAATCTCATGTTCTCTCCACGCAAAATTTGGCCATTACAGCTGAAAATTTGGTGGGAATACAAACTGCAAACACGTGCAGGTAATTGCACTCAGTGGAACAACCCTAGTGCAATTCGTTTCTTACAAGCAGATAGACATAGGCATAAAGCGCAATGGTTTTGTCAATTAGATGGCATTCTCCTGCACAAGTAAACATTAGTATGCAGAGAGAAACCTCTACATAGTGTATCCTGGATAGGGCGTGATGACACTTGTGCATCGGATAGCCACTCACTCAATTTGACCGGTGAAATTCAGTGTGAACTAGTGGACGTTGCGAATTCATTGCTGCGATTTTCTTTTTTAACATCTTATTGTGCATTGGTCTCATCGGGCGTCAGATTACCTACCAGTCAAATTTGTCTTAGACCAGAATTTTCGGTGACCGATCAGCAGATTGACCAAAACATAGCATGCGAATATAAGCAAGTCTGGGTGCGTGGTTATGTGTTGGAAGTGGCTTGAGGTGACTCATTTGCTACGGTATATTGAGTCTAGTTAATTCATAACTAGGCAGCTTGGGATTTCGGTCTATCGAGGGCAAAGAAATTCACAAGTGTGCAACAACGTAGGATTCTGCGGTCTTCAACACTCTTCAGAAACTCATCGATGCGAGCAGTTAAAAAGCTGCAACGTACGTGCTTCTGAACATAACAGAGTAACCGGGGGGAGCAAGTTCCTGCAATCCGCTGATTGAAACTCAGTGTTATGTGCAGGTTCTCTCTTTAGTCCAGGATCAAGGTAAACTGACTGCAGTAATCTTGACTTGACAATGTCCGTTTAACCTCAGTAGTTGATAGCAATCCATGACCGCTCACTGGCTTTAGAAACCTGTGCGAAACTCAATGACCTTACCTAGTTTATGGGTGAGGCAGATGACAAGATGCGCGAGCTGATCAGTGCGTCCGTGAATCACCCAAAGACAGTGGTTCGTACAGAATGAGATTTAAAAAATGGAATAGTCTTACGCCAGCACCGACACGCCAATGTATATATCGATTCAAGAAACCTGGACTGTCGATCACAGGTATTTATAGTGTATGGGGAATGCAGTTGTTACGCGTTGGCTTAATCACGTGGTCACTGCGTACGGTCCACAACGGGCAGATAATTTTTTGCGAAGAGAGAAAAACAAGCAATACCCACACTTTCACAAACAATCCTGTTTCTGTGGCGCTCAGGATTTCCGACCGAGAATTCGCGGGACATCTAAACTACATGCAGCACATTATACACAAAAAGGGGCGCCGAACTCAGAGGTTCTGGGGAATGGTATCCCAAAGAGTAAACAGAGGCGAGGAATTCCAGCAATTTGCTTTCAGGTAACGGCGATAGTTTTTCCACACGTTTGCTGATGTGGCCGCTGTGGCGTGCGCCACGTAACAAAGGACTAAGCCGATGATATGGATTGGTATCGGACAGATTTTGGTTTCGGCTGACATAAATTTTTCAGAACTTGTCATATTCATTCATCGTTTCCCTATCACACAAGACTCTCCTGTAACATCAAATCGTTTCGCAAATAAAAAACATCAATTTGGATATTGGTGTTTAGTTCCAACAAAAATGCATTCAGCTGTAGCACTCTTCCGGTGCCTAGCTGCCATGCCACCCGAAGGAAGCACGAGGGCCGGGATACTGCCAGGTTGCCCAGGCCTAGACAGGGGAAGTCAAGAGGCGGAGGTGGAATTCGAATCACGGATCTTCCGGTCAGTAAATTCGCCCTCTTACTACTTGGGCCATCTCGCCCCTTAGATCCAACAGGTGATGTTCCGAGATTTGCGCAATAATCTGAGCGAACCCCTTAAGGATGAGTGAATAATTCTAGGACGACCGTCTGATTAGCCATGCGGATCTCCAGGACCGAGCCGTCTGGCCTTCCACCTTTTAGAAGCAGGATGGTTATACTTGTGTTATACTTGCGTAAGAAGGATTTTTTTCACCAGATGAACTACCTCAGTGTTGAGATATCGCTAATATGCGTGCCCACACAAATACGTGCGGACACAAATATTAGAAAAATATCGTTCGCAGCTCTCTCATCAACAACAGAACGCAAAATGATCAACCATAACACACCCTCTTTGTAAATTCGGCTATCGAGTGTTCACTTATCACATATTCTTGGCCCAGGCAACAACCGGATTCTAATAAAGGGGAATTTAATTTAGGCCCAATTGTATCATCATTATTTATCGTTCTCGAAAATTTCCCTTTGACATTAACAAATAGATGTGTCCTCAAGCAGAATGGGACTGATAAGTCGGGAAGCTTGTCAAGGAAATTTTACTGCATGTTATGTGACATTTATTGCGTCCTGGGTGTGTGTGTGTGTGCATGTTATGTGGCATTTATTGCGTCCTGGGTGTGTGTGTGTGTGTTCAGGTGATCCGCCCTCCCACTACTGATAGTTTGATGTGAGTACCATCTTTCAGTCGATCCAAATGAACCACTGATTCGTCAGTGAGTAGACGAGAACAAGCATCTGCAGCCGCAAACATGGTGCACCACACGCTCCAAATCAGCTCAAGTGACGAGTACCCCGGGATCAAGTTATTTATCCAGAATGCAACGCGCACTAGTAGTAAAATTGAGTCGTTTTTCTGACCAACTAAAGCCTTTATTATCTGTGTTTAATAGGTATTTATAGTGTGCCACATTCAAAAATAGCAACATTTTGGAGACTCGTACATTTTTCAGCTGTTAGAAAAACAGGTGGGCAACTCGGACAGATGGTCTCTCTTTTATGACAGGAGTATTGCAGATAAGCCAATCCGGGTTAGCCCTGATGAGTAGCATTCCGCTTAGGTTATTTGCAACTGAAGTGAATCCATTCCTCATATTTTCGTCTTCACAAAGGACTATTGGACTTAGGAGGGGCATATTGCGTGCCGTTGTTGAGCTGAAAATCAATTCCAAAACCTACAACTAGGCAATATTCTGGTCCACCGGTAAATGCCAATTCCTAACGGGCTTTGCCGCGTTTGAGTTCCGGATTTGAAGGAATAACGGCTTTCGGCGTTTTGGGACATGGAGGCTTACAGTAAACGACTGGCATTAGCTAATCATTACCGACAGGATTTCTATGAGTTACTTACCTGGATTGCGCGTTCGATATCTTGAATTGTCTCCGTGTGGGCTCCCATGCGATACAGAACACAGGATCGATTGGCATAGGCGAATGCCCTTGTTTTGTCGGTCTCAGCACAGAATAGGGCTTTGGTGTATAGTGCCAAGGCTAGCCTAGTATTTTGTGAAATCCAGGCGTCATTGCCCGCATCACGCAACATATTCGAAAGTTCATCTTTCTTTAGTGAATTCCGGCAGCCTTCACTTCTTGAAGCTGTGTGGAAGGGAGGCAAACTCACTATAGGCCTAAAGGATGAGAGTGAGAGGGTAGGGGATGCATCTAAACACACAAAACCAACTAGCTGGTTAAAGTACCGACGACCAGAGAATGTCGTCGCGAGATCGGTTCACTCTGTCATCTTGATCATAGGTCTGACATATTCGAACACCCGGTACTAATATGCATATCTGGATTTCGCTTGCAACTACAGCTGAATTGTTCCATTTTTCTTGTTGGGTCCCGATTATTGGGCGAATGTACGCCTTTATTACATAATAATTAAGCTCACCTTTTTATCGGCTTTCTTGCAATCCTTTGGACATATTTATGTTCCTGTCCGCCTTGTTCCTTCTCAGTTCAATCACTGAAACTATACTGGTGTGTACCATATCAAGCTAGGCTGATGTCTAGCTCGTGGCGACGCAATGGAAGCTGATTCTACGTTTTCAATCAATTAGAAAATGTTCTGGACCGATTGGGAAGTCATCGTTTCAGAGGGGTTTGGTAGACAATCGGTGGATTTATTGCTGGGCAACGTCTCACTTTTGACACAAAGGCTTCGTTAGGCCAAGTGAGTAAGCAAGCAGGTTGATTGGGTTTTAAGGCAGTCGGGGAACAAATTCGTGAGATTCCTTATGGCTAGTGACGTGATCAGTGCTGGGTGTTCAGTCTGATGTTCCTGTTTGTTGATTAGTGGGGACGACTAAGATTTATGGTAGATTGGTTAGGGGGGGGTTCGTCATTATGATGAACCCGGATTTTTTCGTCCTTGCTTCTTCAGTCTAGGACACCTTAATGGAAAATTCCGCTTGGGGTCGTTCACAGATTTCGTTCACCTGTGTTCGTCCAAATGTGCTGGGACCATGGTTTGGGGATTGGGGTGGGGTGGTTAATTGGATCTAACCCTACCTGCATTTTGTACTTTTAGACCCAGGCGATTTCGCTGATAATTGCACACTGCCTCGTGTCATCTCGGCTGACCTGGGACCGTTCTTCACACGTTTGCCAGTTCTACCCCCTCCATTCTATTTACACTCGGATGCTTGGCGATTTCCACCACCTCGGCCACTAGTCGTTGTGGTGTGAAACTTAAACCCCGTCTCAGGATGTCCACATTTTCTAAATCTATCCTATTCTACGTTATTTTGAAGGCTCAACCTACTGAGTCACAGGTTGAATTCGTTGATCTCATCATGGTTGATTAGTCCGAGTACGTCATTTATAGAACGTCATTTCTATCACTGGTTGTCCGTGGAATCCGGCCAAAGCTTACAACATAAAGTCCTCCGTACTTTGAGGACCAAGCCAAAATAAAGTGGCAGGGATTTAGGTATCTTAAGTACGGAGAGTTGCGTCCACTGCTGCGCGGTAATTTCTAACAGCCGTAACCACATCGTCCAGGATCATCCACATTAAAATAATCGTGCATATGTACATTTTGCAGTTACTGGCCTTAGGATATCTGCTTGGAATCTGTTATCCATGACCCCACCCACTTCTTTAATCATGATGCTCTCCACATATTATCGGGGGTATTTCGTCGTTTGACTGATGCGATGTTTTTAGATCTTCCGGACATTTGTGCAGTACTCGAGACGTGAGACAATTTAAAACCGGTAATATCATTCTCTGCCCTTGTCACTCGTTTGCCATTGAATTAGAAATCCCACTAATAGGACAAGGTCGTATTTCTTTGTAATGTACTACTCATAAGGTTGCTGAAAATCCATCGACAGCCCACGACCAGTTTCGCCCTTTTTGGGGCTCATCAGGTAGGCGCAGTCCCCGTCAACCTTATGTTCTACTTGAAACCAAATTGCACGAAATTAGCGTATATACACTCATTTGCAAACTAATTTGGTTCTTTCGAGAGGCTCACCTGGAACCCAGCTGAATCTCTCGTTTATGATGTTCTCAGGCGACCAGGGGACTGTGCCTACCTGATCAAACCCAAGAAGGGCGAAACCGGTCGTGGGCTGTCGATGGATTTTCAGCCACCTTATGAGTAGTACATTACAAAGATATACATGCATCGCGATATTTCAAATATCGTAGCGACTGAAACATGAGACGGCCTGATGCAGCACATTCAGTTGCCTGAGAACATCATAAACGAGAGATTCAGCTGGATTCCAGGTGAGTCTCTCGAAAAACCAAATTAGGTTTGGAAATAGTGTATATTCGCTAAGGCCGTATTTCACCTAACAGCCTATCGGAGAAATTTCGCACAGCGCATAACTGGTGCATGGCTAAACGGATGCTTGAGTCCGAAATCCGACGTCTCTAAGATCACGGATTTTGAAATTCGGTTGAACACCGAAAATTCATTTTGACACGCGATAAGTCTTCTTGCTTGCGATCGTTTCCGGAATAATCGTCATTTCAGGAGATGGGATTAGTTGTATTCACTGATTGGAAAGGCTGAGCGTTTTATCTGATCGACGGGATTGTCTATCCTGTAGACAAACTGATCACTGAAACCCCTTTTAACTAGCAGATATAGTCGGTGCTGCATTTTCTTAAAATTCCTTATTTGTTTGCGTGGATGCTAAAAATATATGACTCATATGTTGCGCAGGGAGTCAGTGAATGTAAGTGATGTAACAAATGTCCTTAACTCTAAATCTGATGGAACGTTGTTGTGAGGCGCGAAAAGTAAAACACCCACCGATTATTTTCTAAATTAGTGAAGCTTACTGTGAAAATATTAATTTATATTAAATTTACTTAATCATTCAGCTGTAACACTTCTCCGGTGACTAGCTGCCATGCCACCCGAAGGAAGCACGGGTGCTGGGATACTGCCGGATTGCCCAATTCCAGACAGGGGAAGTCGAGAGCCAGAGGTCAGGTTCGAACCACGGACCTTACGGTCAGTAAATTCGCGTTCTAACCACTTGAGCTATCTCGCCCCCGAATAGTAATTGAAGTTGCAAGCATAACACGCGCCGCGAGTTAGAATTCATTCAGTCTGATTCTTCAATTTAGTTGTGATTAAATCATCTTAATCAAGGAAGTGCAACCTCTAGTCACTGTATGGCTTATGGTCACTTGGGTTTGGGTAAACACAGCGAGTTTGTATTTGGCGAAGTTCTGTGGTGTTAACGGAAAGTCAACTAGCTGACCCAATAAGTTGATGACGAAGCCANAACTATCTGACCCAATAAGTTGATGACGAAACCAAAGCCGGTTTGAAATATTTCATGCTTCCCTGTACAAGCCTGACTTACCAGGTAGTAGAGAGAATCGACGAATACCAGGCAATTTCATGAGCACACAAACTCGCTCGAAGTCGGTTGCACATTGAGTGAATTCAGCAGGCCAGAGGATGGAAGAATCTTCCGAATTGCATGATTCTTCTTCGTCCCATTTCCTCGCCACGGCGTCACATACCTCAATACAAAATCTTTTGAAATCTTCGTGCACGTTTTCTTCCTCCGCTGCTCCACTTTCGAAAATGAGTTGCTTCCAAAGAAAAGCCTAAAACGGTTGAGAATACGTATATACTTCTGGAGGTGCTGATGAATGAAGAAATACAAACGTAATGCAAGGTGGTCAGTGGCGAAGGTATGTTGCACTCATGCGTGACACCGTGTTATAAAGTGGACGAAGCGCGACTGCAGCCCATATGCAGCACACTAAGAGTAAAGCGGATTCTATCTGATCACTGTATCTGATCACTCAGTATATGACCAGGCAGTGTTCACTCTATCGCGTCCTGGTTCTCGTCATAGCCCAGGCATTAGCATGGCTGACCTAAACTAGTTCTAGTAAACGGTGAGTCTCGATTCAAGCACATATGGAATAGCCAATCGGGAAGTCCACATATGTTTGTTTATCTAAAATGCACACCCAAACAGAAAACAGAGAGAAATGACGGCCACACAGTTGGCCAATGTGTTGGCTGTTATTGAGGGTCAGTAATGAGCACGCACATGGACATTGTGGAAGGTATAGTGCTCTGGTGATAGAGCGTTCAGCTCGAATATCAAAAGTGAGAGACACTAATAAATATTGAGTATTATGTTTGAATAGATTACAAGNGTTGGCCAATGTGTTGGCTGTTATTGAGGGTCAGTAATGAGCACGCACATGGACATTGTGGAAGGTATAGTGCTCTGGTGATAGAGCGTTCAGCTCGAATATCAAAAGTGAGAGACACTAATAAATATTGAGTATTATGTTTGAATAGATTACAAGATTAGGTGCACCTTATGAATAGTGATACAATGTACAAATGAAGTACGCCAAACTGGGGTGACTCATCGATTTGTGAGGTCTTTGTAATATGCAAATAGACGTAGGGCGTAGTGGACAATGCTGAGGTCTGCTGGACGCAGTTGTATTGAAAGGGCATCTTGACGGAGGGAGCTTAAGTCTTGAATAAGCGTGTTGAAGTTTTGATTGAGCGTGTTGAAGTCGGGCCTATTTCTTGTCGTTAGATCTAAACACTATTGAACCCAGACTTTTCCCGCAGAGTGGATCGTGCTTAGGTGTGAAGTGGCGTTTTCCGCACAGTGAGTCGTGCGTAGTGAAATCATACTATCAGATATGTCCTCAAGTTATGTTCATTTCCAGTTTACCACGGCAAGTGGCAAGTGTATCAGTTAGCTTTTGGTGAACTGCATTGTTTCCCATTATTGTTTGACGGTCTAAGGATAGCAGTTCAGCAGAACAGGCCTGTGTCTCCATGCTTTAGGTATTTTGTGTAATCAGCGCACAGGCCTCTTGGAGCTCGCAACACCAAACTTGTTACTTCAAAATATAAGCGATAGGGACTTGAGCATGATTCAACCACTTTCAAAATGGAGGGTTTTGATTACTCCTACATTGTTATTTCTGCCAGTAGGGACCATCATGTTCTCCGTAGAAGGTCCCTGACAGCTTTATTCGCATAAGACACTTTAATCAGGTTTAGAAAGATACAAAAGCTATTTGTGCAATGTGTGGTTATTCTATGGCTAATCGTTCCAAGATACATAACGGGAATTGGGCCGCTTCTTATTCATGCAAGGAGGATCGCGAGATATCAGATTCAGGTACCGTCGCGAAGAGACTGGAACTTACCGTGGTGTGACGGTTGGCGCACCTCAGCGATCAATTGAGCTATACTGGAGAGTGTCCCGCGACGCTCACAGAACCTCCCATACCAAGTATGGTCAATGGTTAGAGGTTTGACGAACACACTCTTCTGGCCGTCCAGGTTGGGGGTCGGAACACATATGGCGACGTGTTCCGTAAAAAAGGATAATGTACTTGCATTTCCAGCCGAACCCGCTGCCTTGCGGTTAGGCTTTCGAGCCAAAGGCTTTGGTTGAAGACCCCAATCGTCCTCCTGTCTAGGTGTGGGCACCTGGCAATATCCCAGTCCACGTGCAAACATGAACTGCACATACACAAATAAATTCATGCCACATCGGCCGTCGCGTGGTGCCAT